CTTGTTCTGGTCTGCACGTTACAGTATGCAACAGTTTGGTATCGGAGCGGACCTCTCATTCAGAGGACCCGCTCAATTAAGTAGCCAGCTTGCGATCTATTGATCACTCAGTAGTAACGCAAGTAGGACTTAGTCAAATCTCTGAATTTTTTTTCTTTCTCGCGACAACTATCTGAAATTTCTGATATTCGCATTTCGTTTTACCTGAAAATTTCTGATATTAGTAGTTCGTTTTTACGTAGCAAATATCTGAAAATTTCTGATAAATCGCATTTCGTTTTGTCTGAAAATTACCGATAGTAGCATTTCGTTTCTCTGATATTTCGCATACATAGCTGAAATTTCTGAAGTTAGTATTTTCGTTCTCTAGGCATATTGGGATAACGATAGAAGTGGTCATATTCTCGGAAACTGAAATTATTCTTTTCTGAAAATCGCGTTTCCATTCTATCTCGCAAATTTTTTTTTTGAAAACCGAATCTTGTGAAGCCTACCAATATTGCGTTAGGCATATTCGGAGGTTGCTATATTCTCAGAAACTGGATTTAGTTCTTTTCTGAAAATCGCATCTTTACTCCATTTCGCAAAAAATTTTTTCTTTCAAGATCGCAGTTTGTAAAAGCCGAAACTTTGTGGCACTTAGCCTAGATCTCATTCATAATACTCTTCAGACATATCCTACTCATCATAAATCGACAGATATATATAAAAAAAAAGAAAAAAAAAAGGAAGTAGTCCTCTTTTTATTTTTTATTTTTTTATTTTATCTGTTGATTAGGGCCGGAGGAAAGTATTGTTGGGTTGGTTACCTACCTACGTTTTCCCTCCCACCCACCCCTTGCATGCATCCCGGTTCGGTACCGTGCCACGTTAGCAGCGCCACGTCACAGTGCCAGATCAGCAGTGCCACGTCAGCAGTGCCAGGTCATAGTGCCACGTCAGACTTGGTGCCTCGTCAGACACTGCCACGTAAGCAGTGCCACATCAGCAGTGCCACGTGAGACAGTGCCACGTCAGACACGGTGCCACGTAAGCAGTGCCACATCAGCAGCGCCACGTTAGAGACAGTGCCACATCAGACAAAGTGCCACGTCAGCAGTGCCATGTCAGCAACATGACGGGCCTGCTAGGCCAACTGGCCAAGGAGCCCATTGTCGACTACAAAAAGCGCGTCCATGCTCAGCTCGCTGCAATCGAGGCTGAGGAACAACGCCAGCTGGCAGTCAAGGCTGCCCAGCTACAGGCTGATGAAGCGGCAACAGCAGAGAAGATGGGGCTATAGGCCGAAGCAGACGCAGATTCCCATCCTGGCCGCAAGGAAGCCCAGGCTCTGCTGCAGCGGCATGAAGCCAACAACATCGAGAAACTCAAGTACTGGCACTTTGAACCGAACGGCGACGAGCCAACACCGGAAGAACAGCAAAAGGAACTCATGGCCAAGCGCGTGAGCAGGTTGGTTTACACATGTAACCACCTACACTCCGAGCTGGCAAACCTCCAGCGGGCCGTGCGGAATCACAAGACTCAGCATGAGGATGCCACATGGGCACTGGACGCCCGTGTACTGGGCCTGGAACAGGGCGGTGCCAGGACCAGATTCTGGAGCTTCCAGCAGTGCATCCTCTAGCCGCCAACTGGAGGAACGCGATGACCACGTAGTGGCAATGCTAGGAGACATAAGTGCCTTCACAGAGCTGGCCACCATCAGCCAGCGGTTCGAGTTGCTGGACACTAAGACCAGTCAGCAACAGCAGACTGACCACAGCCACAACAATAGCTCGGCGAGGCCATACAAGATGCCGACGTTCCGGACCGAGAAATTTGATGACTACACACACCAAGACCCGGTCGTCTGGTGGCAAGGATTTACAACGGAGTTGGGGATTCACGAAGTCCCTGACCATCTGTTCATCAGTGCTCTGTTCATCAACACCAAGGGAGGTTGTCAGATCTGGCTCAGCCACATGGCAACCATCCACGACGTCCAGGTTTCAGACCTGTACAAGAAGGTCTCCAGGGAGGACAGAACAAAGGAATGGAAGAAGCGGTTCATCGTCGACGATGCCTCGGCACTCGCCGTCAACCGCATCTTCACGATGGCCCAAGGGAGCACACCGACACGTGACTGGCTCACGGATTGGCAGAAAATCGTGGCAACGCCCAATTTGGACTTGTCATTTCCGCATCTGCGGCGTGAGTCTTACAACAGGTCATGCGCCGCTCTCAACCTCGCACTTGGTGATCGCGAGCAGTACAACACTTTCGCAGAGATCATCAACAAGGCGAGAGAGCTCATCAGGCCGGCTGCACACGAGAAGTCCACGTGGCAACCAACCTATGTGGATAAGGTACGAACTGGTCCGCGACAGCAGCACTTCGCTGCAGTCCAGTCGGACAGTGGAGATAACCCAGCAGCCACTCCAGCATCAAGTGACGGAGATCAGGTGGCTGCTGTCCAGCCACGAAGCAACAAGTCCCGCAACAATGGGAAGGCGAAATCCGCATCGCAGGCCGGAAATGGACAGCCAATGCAAGTTCCATGGGTCAAGTTCGGCTTGACCGAGGCGGAGTACAAGGTCCGCGGCCGCTACGGCAGCTGCTATTGGTGCAACAGCACCAAGCATAAGACCTCCCTGTGCCAGGATCAGGGCAAGGAGGATGTGCGACCCCGCCTCAGCTCGGGAAACTGAGCTCCGCGGAAGGTGAGGCGACTCCACCCTCTACTCCGCCAGATTCGGCCGCCTTGCTAGCGGCCTCCTGCACATCTGGGGAGAACGCGAATGTCGGAAGTCCTCGATACACTTACGAGGAGTATGCTGTCCACTTGGTTCCACCGCTGGACCAACCGCTCCACGTGCAACAATCCATCGCATGCAAGGTTTCATCACCATCGGCAACCGATTCGGCAGCTTCGCCAAAATCTATAGCCGGGGATTCGACGACATGGTCAAGACTTGAAGAGCTCGACCCATTGACGTTCACGGATTTCCAGTGGATGCCCGTTCCCTCGACCGGACGATTGTCGAAACCGCATTGCAACGTGCTTATGGCACAATTGCGGGACTACTTGCACACTGCAGTACCRGGTCCGTTGATGGACGCCGGAGCAGAGGTTGTCGACCTTCACGCTTACATCGCGAAGATCGACCGCGAGTTCAAGACGCAACGGTACGACGACATCGAGGCACCATTGCTATACATACGCATTCAGATCGGAGAGGCGACCTGCAGTGCCTTGATCGATTGCGGAGCATCTCGCAACTACATCAACCAGGACTTCATGGTACGCGTCGGCCTTGGCCCACGTGTCCGGAGGAAGTCCCAGCCTACGCAAGTCGCTCTGGCAGACGGTCATACGCACAAGTCCATCGACCGGTGCATTGACGCCGTCCCAGTGTACTTCGCCCCTCACGCAAATGAGGCGGTGTCCTTTGACATTCTGGACACCAAATTCGACATGATCTTGGGCATGTCATGGCTGCGAAGCGAGGATCACCCGGTGAACTTCTTCCACCGCACCGTTCACATTCGTGATCGGAGCGGAGTACTAGTTCCATGCACGGTGCCTCTTCCTCATCCTTCGATCAGTTGCCACGTGGTATCCGCCGCAAGCATGCGATCTTCCATCATCAGAGACGACATCGAGGAGATGGGGGGGTGTTTTCTCCACGCCCTCCCGCCCCATGACGCTTTATCGACGGACTCACCTTCGGATCCACGCATCACCGAACTTCTCGACGCCTACAGCGGCGTGTTCGAAGGCCCGCACGGGGTAGTGCCGGATCGACCCATCCGCCACGAGATCATCCTCGAGGACGGGGCGGTACCTCCACGCAGTTGCATCTACCGAATGAGCGAGGAAGAGTTAAGTGTGCTCCGCGAACAACTCGACAACCTTCTAGAGAAAGGCTGGATTTGGCCTAGCTCATCGCCATACGGTGCTCCTATTCTCTTCGTCCGAAAGAAGAAGAAGGACCTGCGGTTGTGCATCGATTATCGCAAGCTCAACGCGTAGACGATTAGGAATGCCGACCCTCTCCCACGCATCGATGACCTTCTCGAGCGATTGGGCGGCGCCCAGTTTTTCTCTAAGCTGGATCTCAAGTCAGGGTACCACCAACTCGAGATTTGCAAGGAGGATCGCTACAAGACCGCGTTCAAGACACGGTATGGGCATTTCGAATGGCTGGTCATGCCGTTTGGCCTTACGAATACCCCAGCCACTTTCCAAGCGGCTATGACAACGGAGTTCCGACACATGCTGGATCGGTTTGTACTCATCTACCTCGACGGCATCTTGGTGTATAGTCGGAGTTGGGACGAGCATGTGGAAAACCTGCGCACCGTCTTGGAGCGGCTACGACAAACCAAGTACAAAGCAAACCGCGACAAGTGCGAGTTCGCACAGCAGGAGCTGGAGTACTTGGGACACTATGTGACGCCGCAAGGCATCCGTCCGCTTGCGGACAAGATCGAGGCCCTACGAGTATGGCCCGAGCCCACCAACACCACAGACGTTCGTTCATTCATGGGGTTGGCGGGCTACTATCATCGATTCATCACCGGATACTCCAGGATTGTTGCACCTATGACGAGGTTACAGTCCCCAAAGGTGCAATTCGTATTCGATGACGACGCACGCCGGTCATTCCAAGCACTTAAGACGACTATGCTCATGGCACCCATCCTTAGCATCTATGACCCCACCCTGCCGACGCGAGTGACTACGGACGCTTCCGGCTATGGCATTGGGGCAGTCTTGGAACAACACGACGGCGACGAGTGGCACCCTGTGGAGTATTTCAGCCACAAAGTGCCTCCCATCAACTCGCTTGATGATGCAAGGAAGAAGGAGCTGATTGCATTCGTGATGGCTCTCAAGTGTTGGCGGCACTTACTCCTTGGGCGTCGTAGGTTCACATGGGTCACAGACAACAATCCATTGACCTACTAYAAGACCCAGGACACGGTGAGCAGCACGATCGGACGATGGATGTACTTCATCGACCAATTTGACTTCACACCGAAACATGTCCCCGGCCTCTCCAATCGCGCAGCAGATGCACTCTCGC